TCACTTAGGAGCCAAACCAGTCAACATCAAAAATGATTTCCGGCAAGTGCGGCTGCCGAGTGACTGTAGTGCATCTCAGCTACAGATGGAATAAACTAAACTGATGGTTGAACTCAGGGCATTTGCTTGGAACAGCCATAAATCGTGAATTGAAATGCCTGTCTTCATAGTCGTATTAACATCATCAAAAGAACAATGATCAGTAGAAAGGCTCTTTTAAAACTTCAAGTATTAATAATGCTGAACAGATTTACTTTATAAATCATGCATAAACCATACAGATGTCCACTTTTGATTATACCTTTCCACATACCTCCTGTCTGACCCCCCCGCCCCCCCACCGTCCTTCCCCCCTAGGTTGTCCACTTCTGTTGGATTCACTGTGAAAAATGTGTAATTTTTAGGGAATGAGATAGGAAAGATGTGTAAAACAAGATTACTTAAAATGGTAGTTCTCAGACATTTGAGTGTGTCAGAGTCACCTAGATGGCTAGTTAAAACAGAGAGTTGTTGGGCATCATTCCTAGAGTTCCTGGGTGAGTACGAATGGGGTGGGGCCTGAGAATTTGCATTTCTAACCAGCTGTCAGGTGATGCTAATGCTGCTGGTCCAAGTACCACACTTTGAGAATCACCGTGAGAGGAAGGTGCTTTCTGAACAAGAGTGTTAATTGCTAGTTGACGGTGGAATTCAAGGAAACACAGTGAAGTTACTTGCTGAAACCACAGGAGCACTTTGGCCTGGCAGTTATCAAGGGAGCCTCCTTTTAAGAAGCTTATTTACACCCCTTAGCCAGGACATAGGAAAGCAGGGGAACTGTTCTAGTAATCTGTTGTTTTTCAAGTAGTCGAGATAACAAGGAGATCATTGTAATACCAGTTTTTAAAAGAAGGAATGTAGATTCCCCCATTTGACCAGGGAATTTAACAATCATAGGGAAGATCCGATACAGAGAGGGATATGAGAGGGGCGACTGGCTGGCTCAGTCAGTAGAGCACGTGACTCTGGATCTTGGGGTTGTAAGTTTGAGCCCCATGTTGGGTGTAGAGATTTTTTATAAAATGAAATCTTTAAAAATAATAAGAAAGGGATATGTTACTGAGAGCCAAAATTAAAACAGGAAAAAAACATGCTTGGTTTGTTTTTTGTTACTTGATTAAATTTCTAGGCTTAGTGATACTGTGGCAGGCAGGGCCATCCATAATCTAGCCTTGCATTATCGTTCTGGTCCCCTTTCTCTTCTCTCTCTGAAATGGTCCCCTTCTCGCTATGTCCACCCACACACCCTCTCCTGCTTTACTTGGAATTCTCTGAGCAAAACATGCTCTCTTATACCTATGTGCTTTTTTTCATATACTATTCCATCTGTATGGAATGCCTTCCCTCACTCCCTCTTCTTTTTCCACCTGTTTGTTTACTGCTTTTCATTTAAGATAACTTTGTGATCCTCTTAGTAGAGATCAGGTGCTTTAGCCGTATGCTTCCGTAGCATTCATCATTAACTTTATGATGACATTAATCACTCTATTATCTTTTATCTGTATCAACACCCCCCACACATATACTGTAATTTGATTTTTCCTTTTTTTAAATCTTTTTTTTAACATGCCTTTTATTTATTTATTTATTTATTTATTTATTTTTAAGAGGGAGAGGGAGTGAGAGAATCCCAAGCAGGCTCTACGCCCAGCAATTTGGGGCTTGATCCCACAGCCCTGAGATCATGACCTGAGCCAAAATCAAGAGTCAGATGCTCAGTAGACTGAGCCACCCAGGCACCCCTACCTTTTTTTAATCTTTGAGTCTTTAGCATTATATATGGTTCCAGGAACATAAGAGGTATTTTAATGCATGTTGAATAATCAGTCCTTCTGAAAAATGTCAACATAATGCAGTAATGGAGTTCCAGTCTTAGGTCCAAATCTCTGCTTCTTTAACTACTTAGAGCATGACCTTGGGCAAGTTGTTTAAACTCTTTGAGCCTCAACTTGTACTAAGTATTCATTCTCTAATACATAGTAGGTGCTCAAATGGCAGTTACTGTTTTACTATATTTGCATCTTAGGCTATTTAACAGTCTTGCAATATCTATATGGTCAAGATGGGAAATTTTGGACTATGTGATATAATTAATTCAGAAGTGGTGAAACTTACATTTTTGTAAGGCTTTCTCTAGGGGCATCCTCCATGGCTCGATTTCGTTGTCCTGAGCTTTTCAATATTTTAACAACAGCTCAGCTGAAGATGTTGATGGCATGGTGTTCCTTACTTAGAAGGAGAATTTCTTTTGCTAATTAGGATCCTAGAAGTTCTTGACTGATTGGTAGACAAAGTGATATTTTTGAAGGAATTGATGTAAATTATTCAGCTGGGATCAAAACGTTCAATTATATAAATTCAAATTGGAAGTGGGAGAGGAATGGAAAAGAAGGTAATGGGTCAAAATCAGTGTGTGAGGGGAGTTGGGATTTTGATTAAACCAGGCCCAATATAAATAACGTGTGATGTAACTGCCAACAAAGCCTGTGTGATATTAGACTGCATCAGAGGGAGAGTAGTAGCTAGAACGTGGGAAGGAATTAATCTATTCCATCCTGGCTCGTCATCCTGCCTGAGAAGTACCGTAGCCCATTCTGGACACCACTTCTGAGAGGCATATTGATAGGAGGGAGGCCAGATAGACTGAAGACTGAGACTGTGCTTCAGAGAAGAACGTGTGGAAAAAACCATAGCCTTGAGAAAGCAAGCCTGCGGGGTGGGGGGAGGAGGTGTATTAGATATCTTTGGACATTGGAAGGAGGCTTGCTTAGACTTCGTCTGAACAGCTGCAAAGCCCAGAACTAGAACCAAAGGGTGGAAGTTATAAAGAAGCACATTTCTAGTTAAAACAAGGGGAGACACTGTTCATAGGGTGGTGGAGCCCCTCTTAGTCATTGGAGGGGTTGAGGGAGTACTTGTACCAACGGGGATGTTATTACATGGGTGTGTCACTAATATAGTGTAGGTGTTGGATTAACAGAGATTCTGTAAACCAAAGAGAAAGTTCTTAACTTTGTTTTGTTTACACTATACATTCCTAAGTAGAATGTTTAGCACCATACCTGAAAGATTTAGAAGTACAACCTTTTTCAGAGAAGTAAGTTGCAAAAAGAAAAAAAATTCTGCAGTTATCATCACACTCTCTGTTTGTCTTCCCTACAAAGTTATTATCTACAGCTTTTCCCCTATTTTCTTAAATACGCACCAAGTTAAGTTTTCCTAAGTTTGGCTAGAGACTCCACTAGGCCTTTTCCCTTATTTGCAGCAGGGTTCGTGTTGTGTATGATCACTCAAACATTGTGTCTGAAAGATAGAGTGGTAACAGAATGTATCCTCAGTTGTAGCAAAATGACATGTCCCACAAGGCTGGTGATTTGGTGGTACACCTTTGAAGCTTTACAGGATGTCTTAAGTGCTACAGCGTACTGTGTATGGACCACCAGACAGCAATGATTCTTGTGGGGGAAAGAACCGAGGAGAATGGGAAATAAACTAAGAGATTAGAAGATGATTCTAGAGAGATGTACCTGCTTCCTGTTTTCCCTAACACTGCTTTCCCCAGATGTGGAGACAAACTGCCCTACTCTGAGGAACTCCTTTCCTCTTAGAACCATAGGGCTCTTAAATGTGACCTGCTTTCATTAGCCTCTCTTTCGTCTACCTCTTCATCCCTCTCAGTGGAATCCGGTGTCCCTTTTGTGTTTCCCTAAGGCAATTCCCTTTGGGTTTAATTTCAAGATTAGAACTAGTGTAAATTGTGTGCGTGGCATTATAAAATAAAGCATACACACACAAAATACCTTATTGGTGAGCCAAATTTCTAAGCCCATGATTAGTGAGTTAAAAGTGTTAAATAACTATTGCAGTATTTGCTTTATATGTGTGTGTATGTATATATATTTGTTTGCCGCAAATACTTAGGCCCACCATGAGGACACATATCGATAAATGAAGGTATGGGGGAAGATGGGGAGAAAGAAGGAAATAGGAAACTTTTACATGTAAATAAAAAGAAGTATTTTTTAAAATAATTTTTTGTGGGGTGGCTGGGTGGCTCAGTCAGTTAAGCATCTGACTTGATTTCGGCTCAGGTCATGATTTCAGGGTCATGAGATGGGAGCCCCACATTGGGCTCTGTGCTCAGTGGGGAGTCTGCTTAAGATTTTCTCTCTCCCTCTGCCCCTCCCCCTGCTTGCATGCACGTGTATGTGCACACGCTCTCTCAAATAAATAGATAAATCTTTGAAAAAAAATAATTTTTTATCTGTATTTGATCGCCTGCCTTCTGGGATTGTGAAAGGTTAATGCATTTGGCTGTCCATAAGGAGAAAAGTTCACTTTCATTTGAAGTGTTCCCTCATTGAAAACATCAGTTTGCAGCATCCAAGAGGACTTCTTATTTCAGTTATTATCTGAATTTAAAATTTGTTTATATGTATGTTGTATTTATTTCTACTTTATATACATACATAACATAGTAATTGTAGAGTTTTTAAAGCATATAGAATACTGATGTTGTATTTTTTTTTTTTTTAAGATTTTATTTATTTATTTGAGAGAGAGCACGAGCAGGGGCAAGGGTCGGGGGAGAGGGAGAAGCAGACTCCTTGCTGAGCAGAGAGCCAGATGTGGGGCTTGCTTCCAGGACCCTGAGATCATGACCTGAGCCAAAGGCAGACGCTAAACCAACTGAGCCATCCAGGGGCTCCTGTCTAAGCACTTTAAAAATGAGGTACTTTTAGACTTAACAAAAATTATCCTCAAAATTGTTTTTCATATGTACAGGATGCCAGATGAGGGATTTGACCACAGCCAATGTGCTATTTTGTTTTCTGTCCCTAGTGTTCATGCCATGTGCATGAACCTATGAAGGAATTTGGGTTTGCTTTAGAGCTAATGTAGTATGCATATGTGTGACATATTTTTATTTCAATTATTGTTTCACTTTTTAAAATTTTCAGCATGTTGGAACAGGATTCCAGGAGAAAGAATCCTAGTGTGAACCCTGCAAATCAAAGGAGGCATCTTCTAGAATTTTCTGCTAAAGAGGTAGAAGATACATCAGATGGTATCATCCAGAAAAACAGCTACAGGTTAGAAGATGGCATGTCTCTGTCAAAATGATGTAATGAAACTGCCGTGGGGAATTATATAGTACAACTTTACATCTAAATTGTGAATGTGCAGTTTTAATTTGTAGAACAAACAAGTTTTGAGGCCCTTAGTAAATTTTACTGTTAAGATCAGTTCTAAGAATAAATTTCCTTTTGAAACCTTTCCCAATTTTGGAATTCTTAGAGAGATGTGACCTTAAAATCTCAGTTTGTATGTACTGAGATACATATGGAGGCACATACAATATACATACATTATATTATACATAATGTTTTTAATATAGTTTTTATCTGTCATATGGTTACATGTATATAGTGTATGTAATAGTATCATCTTTGGATGAATATGATCTGGTGGAGTGATATGGGTGAACCTCTGTGCAGTCATTTGATCAGATCGTTTATACTTACTGTGATCTTTGTTGGACCTCCCTCCCTTGTTATGGTTTATCATTCTCCTGGTAAATTTCTATATAGCTTGCCCATAGTAAAAGACCTAAAATTTTTTGAAAAGACAAGGTCTGTATTATGTAAACTAGAAGAAGGCTGTAGTGGACATTTTCAGAGCTGTATACTTTTTGATATACATTTCCCTGTGATAATTTGGAATTTTTATTAGAACCAAGTGGAGTGAGGTCCTTGACTAACAAAGCAAAGGGAGGTCACAGTGTGGTAACAATGTATTGCACAATATAGTGCTTGAGAATCATTAAAGATTTGTTTACTTGTAACTCTGTAAGGTTCTACAGGCCAAGGGCCATTAGGGGAATCTTTTTTTTTTTTTTTTACTGTGACAGCCATATCACTGAATGAAATTATTACCCTAGTCCTGTGGGCTTGTCTCCATTTAGCCTTCCTGGAAAAAATATGCTAGTATTCATTATTTTAGGAATCTACAGTGGGTAAAGTACTATGTTAAGTGTGGCGGAGGATCCAGAGAATTATATGGCAGTAAGTGTAATGTGTACAATGTGATGCATGCCATAATATTGGAAACTATAATAATATATATGACATTTCTTGCTTTTTTTTTTTTTTACGTGCCAAAATTAGCCATACTTCTGAATACTGATCTTAGTGCTCACTTAATGGTGTCTTTGAATATTGCTAGAGTTAAATTGTGTCTTTCATTTTACTACATCATTTGTCCAAGTTTGCCCTACATGTTCTGCATGTAATTTTGAGTTCTGTTGTCCACATGAGATCCATCAAACCTTACATTTTCATTTGAGAGTCTTTGGATTTATGAGAGTTGAGAATGTGCCTTTTGGGTACATATTGCTGGTTGTTAAAAAGTAGAACTAATTATTGATTATATACTTGAAATTACAGTTCAGATAACCTTTACAAGAATATTACTTATTTTGTACTAACCTCAGTAAATAGACGCCTTCACCCATTTGTCTGTGGGAGAGTAAGGTAACATGGAAAGCACAGTGTTCTGACCATCGTAGTTCAACCTAGATGTTTGAATGACCTTCAGGCTGTAATTTATCAGCTTCCAAAGTAGTGTATGAAATGCAAACTGTTCCCCGTACCCCACCCCAGAGTCACCATTGCCTGTGCTGTGTTACTGGTATTGGTAAAACATGGAAAAGATTATAGATTCTTGGCTGCATGTAAATCTCTTGAAATATCTAAGATTATTATTGAGCAGCTTGAGAGATGCAAGTAGGTATCAGTCCATCAACTTGATGTTCTTGCTTTTATCATTATAAATACTGAATAAAAGATACCAAGTGTGCAGCATTTGAAAGCAGCAAATACAAATGCGTTTTGAACTGCATTTTAGTTTGTTTATTTATACACAGCCATGACACTTTGTTTATTTTTTAATGCAGCTTACCTTTTATTATGTTTCATTTTTTAGGAGAACTATGAGAACTGGTTCAAATAAAAAAGGAGTAGATTGTAATCCCATAATTTATAACATTGCATTCTCTTAGCATTTAGTAATTAAATGCATATATGTTTTCGGTTTTAGAAATGTGTAGTTTATAATAAGATGACCGTATAATTTGTCAACCAAACTGGGATACTTTTAAGAATGGAAGGTAGTGCTAAGTAATAATTACATCAGGACATCAGGCATAAATCCAGGACTGTCTTGGATAAATGGGAAGGAATGGTTCCCTTACATAGAAGGCATCAGCCAGAACCTGTCTTTATTCCAGGGATTCTCATTAACTCTACCTCCCTAGCACTGCCCTTTACTTTAGTTATTTATTTGCTGAAATGGTGTCTATTGATATGAAATAGTTTGCAAGCAGTTTAGGACTCCGACCATCTCAGGATTAGTGTGGATCTGATTGTCTCCAGATTGCATGTTGGCTTAGATTCTCCCTTTTCTTTTCCCTTCAGCTCCACCCGGTTCCTTTCCTGGTATTTCTCCTATCAGATTTTTTTTTCTTTTCCAAAGAATATTTTTGGCTGATAGAACAAAGCCAGTTAGCACAAATGTGCAGAAGTCATTATACTAGAGTGTATCATGTGGAAATAAAGTTATAGATCAAAAATACATCTTCAGAAGTAATTTTAGATTCCTCTGATGGATAGTAGCATTTATATTTTTGTAAGTATGAAGGCCTGATTTTTTAAACTAAGGCACATGTGACAGATCTTTAGTTTTTGTTGTTTTTGTTTTTGTTTTTTTTAAGTATAGCAAACAGCCTCCTCTTGTAGGCATTCAGAATTTACCCAATACAAGGGAGAGATTTTTTTTTTTTCTTTTCTCTCAACACTTAATTTTAGGGTGATTTCTGTGCAGTTACTACCTGTGCACCACCATCTCTGTGTTATTCCAAACGATTTAACTCTCAGAGGCAGAGGAGGAGACATGGAGAATGTTCTGGTGCAACCTGCAGGGAAGAATGATGTGTATATCCTCAGCTGTTGCTTTTTCCCCATGGTGTGTGGCAGACAGAGAAGTCTGTAACTTTTCTCTTAAAGTTGGTTTTTCAGTCTCCCAAAATTATTTTTGTCAAGGAGGCCAGTTATTTCAGTGTTGACAGATTCAGTGGAAACTTCTGTCTTTATCTTCATCTTTCCTCAGCATCTGGCTGTGTGGATCCCTCCTTCCTTGAAACATTCTCCTTTGTGTTGCTACATTTTTCAGTTTCGGTCTTTTTTCACGGGCCTCTGATTCAGTCATCTTTCTGGGCTCCTCCTTTATCCAAATCTCGTCGTCTGGAGCTGTGGACTTTCTGGTTTTCTTTTTGCTTGTGTGACTCCTCCGTAATTTAGCACACAGTCCCTATCTCTATATCCTGACAACTCCCAGATTTACGTTTCCCACCCAGACTTCCCTTCTGAGTCTCCAGGCTGCTCTACCCCAGTAGTTTTCTTGATGTTTCTTTTTTTTTTTTTTTTTAACATTTCAAACCTAACACATGCATGGCGGAACTCTCGTGCCTTTTTGCATTCATCCTCCAGCCTCTTCTCCACAACAGTCTTCCTTGTCCTGTTGCTTAGCCAGAAACCCTGATTCCTCCCTTTCAACAAGTACCATCGATATTCTTCCTAAAAAGTATCTTGCACTGGTTCATGCTCTCCATCTTCACTGCCAGCACCTTAGTCCTGCTGTCTTCGTCTCTTGCCTGGATTATAGCTCTCTCCTGACTGGTCTCCCAGCTTCCCCTGTGGCCTCCATTGGATCCATTTTTGGTACAATGGCAAGGTGCAGGCATACACTGAAATATATCACTACTCTCCTTAAGTAATGCCTTATCATAATCTGGTCTCTCCTTTTTTTTTTTTTTTTTTTTAAGATTTTATTTCTTCATTTGAGAGAGACAGAGAGGATGAGCAGGCAGAAGGGCAGAGGGAAAGGGAGCGGGGAAGCAGACTCCCCATTGAGCAGGGAACTGACATGGGGCTCCATTCCAGGACCCTGAGGTCATGACCTGAGCTGAAGTCAGACGTTTAACCAACTGAGCCACCCAGGCGCCCCCTGGTTTCTGTCTTTCTAACCTTGTCTTGTGCTTCCCTCACTTGCTCACAACTCTTCAGCTGGTGAGTGGTGGTCTTTAAGTTCCTGAAGACCACCGTCTCCCCACCTGCATCTGTCCGGAACACTCTTTCCCAAGTTTCTGTAGTACTGGCTTCTTCTCATCCTTTAGACCTCGACTTAAATACCATCTCCTCACACCATTTTATCTAGAGACTGCCATTGGTTTTCTATTACTAGTTAGATTCTTTCTTTTTTTTTTTTTTTTAAAGATTTATTTATTTGAAAGAGAGAGAGAATGAGAGAGAGAGAGAGAGAGAGAGCACATGACGGGGGGAGGGTCAGAGGGATAAGCAGACTCCCCGCTGAGCAGGGAGCCCGATGTGGGACTCAATCCCGGGACTCCAGGATCATGACCTGAGCCGAAGGCAGTCGCTTAACCAACTGAGACACCCAGGCGCCCTAGATTCTTTCTTAATTTGGATTTATTTTATGTGTTTGTTCTCATATTTCGTCCGTCTTCCCCCTGAAGATTTTTGAGGATAGAGACTTCGTTTTTCTTGCTCCCCATTGGATTCCTAGCATTGTACCTGGCACGCAGTTGGTATTGGTTGAATGAATTAATGAAAACTGTGAATTTAGTCATGTCTGATTTTGTGTTTACATTTTTTCTTCTTGGGTTTTAGCTAAATATCTAGTTTTCTAAATCTAGAGCATTGAATATAAAGAAATTCAGGACAGATCTAAGATTTTTTAATGAGAAAGGTTAAAATAGCAGCCTGAAGAGACTAAATAGCAGTAATGCCACCAGCTCCACTTCTGATTTTCAGCCTAGGTTCTGCTCCCTCCATCACACCATGGATATGAATTCAGTGTGACGGTTAGGAAAGTATGTATTTTGAAGCTAATGGAGTAACTGGTTAATATTACTTTGGTGTTTTATTAGTGACTTGGCTTCTTCCATGATTCTAAAATTTATATTCAACTTTTTTTTTAATTTAAAAAAAGTGATTCCATTTATTTTTTTATTTTTTTTGAGTTCCCTGTACCTTTATTTTTTTAATAATTTTTTTATTGTTATGTTAATCACCATACATTACATCATTAGTTTTTGATGTAGTGTTCTATGATTCATATATTCAGCTTTTCAACACTTTTCACTTCTCTCTCACCAAGTGTTTTATGCTTCTCCTTACCCCTGCCACACACAGTTTTAAGGAAACTTCAGTTTTGTTATCGCAGAATTGTGAATGACCACAAAACTCTAGTCTGTTCACATAATAATACTGTCTTTCCTATCAGTCAGTGGGTCCTTCCCCCAAATCCTCCCATTAACTGCGTCACCTCTGTTCCAGCAGCACTGTCTAGGCCTCAAGCTCACGGAAGACACGGACCACGTGTTAGCATCGTTTCCTTGGTTTTGGGCACATAGTAATTGCTCAGTAAATGGTGGCTAGATAAATGTGAATTTCCATGACAATCTGCAGAAAATTGGAAGGTGACATTTGTGCTACATGGTCTGTGTCTATACTTCCCTCTTTTTCTATTTCATTTGCTTCTCTCTTGCGGTATATCCCATTTACTATATTTTTATTTCCCTAAAAAGTTAATACTAGTAATGATTTTCTTGTAGCAAACTGCTAAGGAATTTAAGACAAAAGAAGACAGATTTTGTGCATATATTTTTCAGATATGACCATTCTGTTTCAAATGACAAGGCCCTCATGGTGCTAAGTGAAGAACCATTACTCTATATTCCTCCACCTCCTTGTCAGCCCCTGATTAACACCACAGAATCTCTCAGGTGAGTGTTGTAGATTGTACAAATATCGGAGTGGGTTCTTGGGTTTAGCTTTGGAACCTAGAAAACTATTTGTTCAGATTAGTTAAGTGACTGAGAGAAGCTCTGATTATTTGTCGGATGATCATAGGCATATCAGTTGTTGTCCAGTTTCCCCACCAACCTGATGAAGATGGTGATGGGTCTCTTTTGCATGATAGTATTGGGGTTGCATACTTAAATATGCCTTATTTGAAAACTACAGAATGAGACTAATAGAAAAATTCAGGATGTTAGATTTGAGAAGTGGTAACATTCGTAGCAGAAGGTGCCCTTTTTCTTCAAGTTAGGAGATAACAATTTGAAGAGAAGTGATTCTGGAGATATTTTCCCGTTAGGGCACACCTTACCTTTCCTTATCTACTTTTCCCTTGGATATTTTCCTGTGATTTTGGATTCTATTCTTGAACTTCAAAAATTGCTTCAGTTTTTTAAAGTAGTAATCAACTCTAGTTAAGTAAGCATGGTCTGACATCTTCACAACTGCCGTAAAAAGTAAGCACAATAAATGGAACCTACATTTGAACTAGTCCTTTTTTTCATTTGCAATGTTGGAAATTTTGGTTATAGTGCATTGTTTATTTCTTTCCTTTTTTTTTTTTCTGAGTAGTTGAGTTCATTCTTTTCCTTCTCCCAAAAGAGCATGATTTTCAGAGGCTTTAATGCATCCATTTGCCAGTAGGATCCTGTAACTTACTAAATGCTCTTCATTGTCTGCAGTGTTTGTGTGTATGTAGCCCAAGAGCAGAAACAGGAAATACTCTTGTGAAAAAAACCTTTGCATTCAGTTTTTATATTTGGAAGGTATTTAGTTATGGTTTTTTAAAATTTTTATTTATTTATTTATTTTTTAAAGATTTTATTTATTTGACAGAGATAGAGCACAAGCAGGCAGAAAGGCAGGCAGAGAGAAAGGGAGAAGCAGGCTCTCCGCTGAGCAGGGAGCCCGATGTGGCTCTCGATCCCAGGACCCTGGGATCATGACCTGAGCCGAAGGCAGCCGCTCAACCAACTGAGACACCCAGGCGCCCCCCCCTTTTTTTAAATCTGAACTCATGATTGAGGAGGCTACTATATAAAAATGCATGTTGTATTAAAAATAACATTAGTATCTTAGCTTTTTCAAATCAAAAAGGAATATTGAATCATCAGGCACTAGGGATGCTATTTGGAACTTACAGAATGTGATTAAATTCATTTTTAACCAAAGGTGAGACATTTATTTCTCTGAAGTATGCTTAATTAACTAAGCTGTTTTATAGGTTAAATCATGAACTTCGAGGATGGGTTCACAGGCATGAAGTGGAAAGGACCAAGTCAAGAAGAATGACGAATAATCAGCAGAAAACCCGTATTCTTCAGGTTTGTTTCTGCTTGTCTTTGAACAATGGTTGACTTATTGGTTGGCCATCTTCCCTCAGATGGTTTGCTTTCGTCCATGAAAAACTTGGGACACTTGAACTTCAGTCACTTCCCACTGCCTTTTCTGCTGCTCCGGTGCAGCCGTCGCTGCTGCTGAAGCCCTCGTCCCAGGTGTTAGAGCACCAGTAGTTCTTGCTTGGGCCTGGTGCTCCTTCCTGCTCTCTCCCCCAGCTTCACTTTCAAGCCAGGGGTTCCTGGGCATGGACATCTGTGTCAAGTGATTTTGGCACAAATGGTGTGGTACATGGTACTGTTTATCTCCTCTGTTCTTAGAGCTTTTCAGAAAGAAGGTTTTGAAACATAGGACAGCTTGGGAATGGAGGCACATCTTTGTGGAGAGCATTTTTGAACTTAGACATGTGGGTCTGGCTATAGGTTAATGACAACTCTAATTTAGAACCTATTTAGCTGGGCTTCCATCTTTTTTTTTTTTTTTAGGATTTTATTTTTAAGTAATCTCTACACCCAGTGTGGGGCTCGAATTTAGAACCCTGAGATCAAAGAGTCACATGCTCTACCTACTGAGCCAACCTGGCGCCCCAGTTGGGCTTCCATTTTAATGTTTACCGCAAAGCACCGTTTGTAGTCATTCCATCATCCATCAGATATTCATTATTACTTTTGAAGCACTTAGACTAGCAACTGGCATATTCTAAGCTCCCAACAAACATTACCTGTGGTAGTAATAATGAGTCAGGTATGGTTCTAAATCCTGGGAATATAGTAGTGAGTGCAATAAAATCCCTGCCTTCATGGAACTTACATTCTGGTGGGATGGATAAGCAATAAACAAGTAAAGTGAAAGACAAATACCATATGATCTCCCTTATATGTGGAATCAATTTAAAAAATACAACTAAAACAAAAACTGAACTCTTGATGCAGAGGAACAGATACAGAGGCCGGGGGGTAGGGGGTTGTGTGAAATAGGCAGAGAGGGTCAAAAGGTACAAATTTCTAGTTATAAAATAAGTAGGTTATAAGGCTATAATACATAGCATGGTGACTATAGTTAATAATACTGTATTTGTATATTTGGAACTTAGTAAAAGAGTCTATCTTTAAAGTTCTCATCACAAAGGAAAAAATTAAATAAATAAATATTTAAATATACTCAAAACTAGAGATAAGTTCTCTAAAGAAAAAGTGGAGTTGGAGATTAGACGTTAAATTTAGAGATGAGTGGCTATTTTAGATTGAATAGCCATTCTAGAGAAGGCTTCTCTAAAGAGCACTTGAGTAAGGTATTGTCAAGGTAATTAATGCTAGGTGTTGTAAAAACTGGCTTCAAAATCTCAGTAGCTTAATGGAATAAAAATTTATTTCTCACCTACACAAGTCTGATATAGCTCTCTAGGATGGCTTTCCTTTACGCTGTGACTAAGGAATCCAGGTTCTTTCCACTTTGTGGCCCTAACAACTTGAAATTCTTTGCTTCTAGCTTTGGATGTTGGGGAAGAGAGAGCTTGGAAGATTGTGCAGAACGTTTTAGGGATCCAGCCTGAACTTTAGCCCATGTTCAGTTGACTAAAACTCTGTGACTTTTCATGGTCTCTCTTGCAGTATAGGTTAGGCAAATGTAGTCTTCCGTATGCTCAGGAAGAAAACAGTTTGGTGAGAACATGGCTTTTGTAATAGCAAAAAATGAAGGAGTGAATGTGTAAAGATCCAAGGTGTAAAGATCCAAGGGAAAATCTGGAGAAAAAGGGGAGCAGCAAATATGAAGACTCAGGAGGAAACGTCTGCATAATTGAGAAACATCAAGAAGTTGTATAAGGCTGGACTGCAATGTCTAAGGGTAGAATAGTAGACGACGATATCAGGGAGGCAGCAGAGGCTAATTCGTATCCAGCCTCATAGGCTATGGTGGGAAGCATTGAGAGGTTTGAGCAGGGGGAGTGACTTGATTTCCCCCCAAGATTTTCTCTTTCTTTTCAGCAAATTGACTGTAATGTGACTAGGCGTAGTTTTCTTTTTTTTTAAATTTAGATTCAGTTAATTAACATAAAGTGTTTTATTAGTTTCAGAGGTAGAGGTCAGTGATTCATCAGTTGTATGTAATACCCAGTGCTTGTTAACATCACGTTCCCTCCTTAATGTCCATCACTCAGTTACCCCATCTCCTTACTCCCCCTCCCCTCCAGCAACCCTCAGTTTGTTTCCTACGCTTTAAGAGTCTCTTACAGTCTGTCTCCTTCTCTCTGATTTCATCTTGTTTTATTTTTCTGTCTTCCCCATCCTCTGTTTTGTTTCTTAATTTCCACATATGAGTGAGATCATATGATAATTGTCTTTCTCTGATTGACCTGTTTCGCTTAGCATAAAACCTTCTGGTTCCATCCACGTCGTTGCAAATGGCAGATTCCGTTTTTGATGGCTGAGTAGTAGTCCATTGTATATATACACCACATCTTTTTCTTATTTTTTTGATTTTATTTTACTATGTTATGTTAATCACCATACATTACATCATTAGTTTTTGATGTAGTGTTCCATGATTCATTATTTGCGTATAGCACCCAGTGCTCCATTCAATACGTGCCCTCTTTAATATCCATCACCAGGCTAACCCATCTCCCCACCCTCCTCCCCTCTAGAACCCTCAGTTTGTTTCTCAGAGTCCATGGTCTCTCATGGTTCGTCTCCCCCTCCGATTCC